GGTTTCTGGGATATACCCTTTGGGTAGTTGATGATGCATGGAGGGGATTGGAACCATGGCAATGAGATGTTATAGATAGAATGAAGGCAAAACTAAAGTTCTCCCATGTAAACTATCATATAATTCACAATAAAACATTAAAAAAAAAAAGAATCAGTGAGAAGCGATGGCAAGCATGGCATAGCCTACTGGCAGAGGAATGCTGACAGAAGAAACAATAGTCTGACAAGAGATGGTGTGAGGGGCTTCCTAGTCCACAGACTAAGGTGGCTACACGTAGCAAGATAGCTGAGTTCCTTTAAGCTGAGACTTTGGGAGCATCAGGATGCCTCTGAACACTGATTGTTGGAGCTAAAGAATTTTGTAACACTTCTATGCATTAATTACTAAAGCCAAACATGAAGAAAGTGAAGACTTTTACCAACTTCTGCAGGCAGAAATTGATCAAATATGCAATAAGAATGCATCAATAATTACTGGTAATTGGAACACAAAAGTTGGAAACAAAGGAGGATCAATAGTTGGCAAATATGACATTGGTGATAAAAATGATACTGAGATCACATGACAGAATTTTTTAAGAACAACAACTCATTGCAAATATGCTTTTTCAGCAACATTAACATTGACTATACATGTGAACCTTTCCAGATGGAATACACAAGACTCAAATTGACTACCTTCATGAAAAGAGATGATGGAAAAGCTCAATATCATCATTCAGAACAAGGTCAGGGCCAACTGCAGAACAGACCATCAATTGCTCTTATGCAGGTTCAAGGTGAAGCTGATGAAAATTAATACAAGTCCATGAAAGCCAAAATACTTCCTTGAGTATGTTGCTGTTGTTATTAAGTGCCATTGAGTCAGTTCTGACCCACAGAGAACCTGTATAGGGTTCCCAAGGAGCGACTGGTGAGCTTGAACGTCTGACCTTATGGTTCAAACCGACTTTGCAGTCCAGTGCATTAACCCATGGCACCACACCAGGACTCCATCCTTGAATATAGCCTACCTAAATTTAGAGGCCATCTAAGACACATTGAACACTAATGACCA